GAAAAACATTACAGAACGGGCACAGAGTTAACTGTGCAGGATTGGGTATAGTCCACTTAAAGAGAAGGAGCCGGAGGTGTCATCAGCTCTGTTCTACAACCGTGCTTGGGTATCGGCTCCATGCCAAACACTGGCTTTGGTAGACAGGGCAGAGGAATTTTAGGAACAAAGCCTGGAGGAAGGAAATGGTGGGTATGTGACGTCACACCTCGGCATTGGTGGAACCGCGGCGTGGTGTGAGTCAGCAGGAGGGTGGTAGACCTGCTGGGGGAGTCGGTGGCAGCCAGATGATGAGACCTACCTCAAGAAGCACTGTGTTTTTAAGTTTGGAAACAAAGCGCCATCTCAGCGGTAGCTCCTGGGCTCCGGCTGTCCCAGCAGCCACCATTTTTGAAGCGCGATCTGTTTCTCTCGGTTCCTAGTGATCTCTGTGCCTGCCAGAGCTCTGTGCATGTGCCTGGGGTTCACATTTTCAGACTCAGCAGTGTTGATGAGACAGGATCTGGATAACCAGGACAAACAGTGCCAGCGGGGACCACCAACCCTGGGTAGACATCCCCACGTTTGGCAGCGCGGCTAGCTGCTACGGAAGACCTGGTGTGGCAAGGACGATTGATTCCCAGGGTCAAGGTAGGGGTGTTTGTGTCCCTCCGGTGTGTGCAGCAAATGCTGACAGTGCTGGCTGGCACCGGGACCTGCTGGTGTCTTTGATCCTTCCTCCCACTGGTGGACTTGGGCAGTCCCAAGGCCATGTAACCTAGCCCAGGGTGGACCCCAATGCCCTTGGCGTGTACACTCCCAGCCATTCTGACCTGCAGTGCACAAAGCTGGTGACCTTATTTACTCTGGCAACATGTGTACTTGGCAAAAGGAGCAGACCAGTACGGATTGGTGCATTAGCACAGGTTAAACAAAAAAAAGGCCCGTACTAGCTTGGAATAAGCAAGTAGAATCCATCAAAAGGGTAAAATGGGTCCGGGCTCAGTGGCTCATGTCTGTGCTCCCAGCACTCTAGGAGGCCAAGGCAGGTGGATTGCTTGAGCTCAGGAGTTTGAGACCAGCCTGAGTAAGAGTGATCTCCTCACTATACCCCACAAAGTGTCACCCGATGTCCATGTGTCCCATGGGTGGTGGCAACTTTGATCCTTTGATTGAGATAGTGTCCTTCTCTCCACTGTAAAGTTACTTTTTTCTTTCATAATGAATGTGTATTATATAAATGTCCGGTTACTCCATTTTCAGCATCCATTGACATTTCTTGCTGGAATTAATTATTGCTCTGATGTTTGCCAAATGGTACTTTTTTAATCGTATTATTCCTTCCCATTTGTTAGGTGGTATTCTATTGTAAGGAGGAAGTTCACATCTCCCATTTTTCTTTATTTTGAGACAGAGTCTCACTTTGTTGCCCTTGGTAGAGTACTGTAGCATCATAGCTCACAGCAACCTCTAATTCTTGGGCTCAAGTGATCCTCTTGCCTCAGCCTCCTCAGTAGCTGGAACTATAGGTGCCCATGACAACACCTGGCTATTTTTAGAGATGAGGTCTTACTCTGGCTCAGGCTGGTCTCGAACCTGTGAGCTCAGGCAATCCATCTGCCTGGCCTCCCAAAGTGCTAGGATTATAGGCATGAGCCACTGCACCCAGCCACATCTCCCATTTTTCAACTCATTTTTTATGAACAGATGAGGTACAACCTATCTTATTATTCCACTCTTCAATAGGTTATAAACCTTTACTGTGCATATCCTTAATTATTTTGGTGCTCAGATTTTGAGAGTTGGTTTTCCATGGAGCTAGCTTCAGCATGAGTTTGACGTGTGCCTGTCATTCTTGGAATATTTCCATCACAAGGAAATATTCCAGGCTGGTACCTAGTACTTTCCTGCTGCAGGGCTGAATCAGCCAGTTCTCTAAGGAGTCTTGACCCCTTTTCATGGAGAGTGATATTTAGGAGCCAAGATCTGGTATGAAGTGTGCCCATGGCCACTGGAATGTTGCTTCCCCAGTCTCCTTCCATGGACAGAGCTAAGGAGTACATGTATCTTTATCCATCCACACACCTCTTTGGCTACATTCCTGTTCCTGTTTCTCTAGGTCGCAGCCTCCTTAGTAGGTTCATTTGCTGATCTCTCATAGGTAACCATTCTCTCAACTGCATGCACTGCCTCTCACCCTGCTCTGCCCCCTGCCAGCTATCATCCACTGCTTCCATCACCTTGCTCCAGTACTATCCTTGCCCAGGCCATTGTCACCCCCGCCTATGCCTAACCAATCACTGTTGGGCTGAATTAGAAAGGAGAGGAAGGAACCCCAATTTTTGTTTCTTAATTAGAAGAAAAAGTAAGCAAAGGCTCAACTGGGATTACCTGCAATAGGTATTCCTTTGTTATACCTTAGGATCTAAACTGTGACAGACAGCCCATCTTACCAGGATGGAATGAATGTTGAAGTGAAAGGAGCTTAAGTATCTCTAAATCCATGTTCAGGACTGTAATCTGAGCCAGGGGGGTGGGAGGAGTGGTGATTTTCAGTCTTGGCTCTAGCAACAGAACAGGTTAACAGCAGCGCGTTAAAGCTGCTAACTCAGCAGGGTGCTTGTCAATGGGTCTAGACATGCATCACACCCAATGAAGGAAGATGAAAACGTCTGGACCAGTGATTTTTCAGTAGTATTCAACTTCAAGGGGGCATTTGGAAACACAGGGTGTTCCCGTTGTCACAATGCCTAAGGCCCACGGACATTTAGTGGGCAAGAGCCAGGGATGTGAATGTTCTATGGCACACAGGACAGTTTTATGCAACAATGGTTTGTCTCATTTAAATGCCCATGGATAGTGGGGCATGGTGGCTCATGCCAGTAATCCTGGCACTCTGGGGGGCTGAGCTGGGACGATTGCTTAAGGTCAAGAGTTTGAGATTAGCCTGAGGAAGAGTCAGGCCTCATCTCTACTAAAAATAAAACTAGCTGGGAGTTGTGGTGGGTGCCTATAGTCCCAGCTACCTGGGAGGCTGGGGCAGGATTGCTTGAGCCCAAGAGTTTGAGGTTGCTGTCAGCTAGACGGATGCCAGGGCACTCTTGAGTAACAGAGTGAGACTGTCTCAGAAAAAAACAAACAAAAGAACCCCCCCAAATACCCCTAAAAAACAAATGCCAATGAAGTACCTTCTAAGAGAATCAAACCCACAGGGGTACAGTTTACAAAGTTTTAAAGTCATGTCCACCGTCATGTTTGTGAGGGACCGTGTTCTCCAGTCTCCACCAGATCAGAGCAAAATAATCATAATTACCAGCAAGAGAAGTGGATGGAGGGGCTACTTCCACATCTTCTAGCTGCCTTCCCACTGCATGAGGTCCTGAGCGAAAGAGCAGCAGCCTTGCAAAACCTATGGCCCCCATCTCGGTGATGGTGGGCAGCACAGCACTGGGATAAAATGCAAGAGATCGGGTGACCTCTGTTGAAATTAGCATCAGGAAAGTAAATGTGTTTCTATAGTCAGGGATGACTGTTTACCTAATTATGAGCTCATATTTCCCATGACTTGGCCAAAGAGTATTTGCTAGCACTTCCAGATTGCAAGTTCCTTGACCTTGACAGCTAGGGGCAGGATGGCAAGCTTATGTAATTACTCTCAGTGTCTTGCAATTAGTAGGTGATTAATAGCTGGTGACTCAAAGTTTGACTTTTCCCAGCTAGACTGTTAACCATCACACTGGGAGAGGCTCCCGTCTCTGTTTCTCCAGTGGTCCAGTCATCTCACTCATATTTTAGACAGGGCTGAGATCTGTAACCTTTTGAACTGGTTAAGCAAGGGAGAAGGAGTAAAGCCCCTTTCTATTTCACCTTTTCTCCCTCCCTCCTGTCTCATCTCCTTCTCTGCCTCTGATTTACAGGCCATATGAGAAGCTGACATGAGAATGGTCCTGACCTCGGTGGACAACTGGCCTTACTGCTGAATTGTGCTACTTTACATGCAGAGCTGAGAAGCAGGACATCCAGGCTTGGGAGGACAGCCATGGCCCTCTGTAGGCTCGTGACTGCCCGGAACTCTCTGCAGTCTCCATCTGCAAAATTGGTAGGTTGGATTGCATGATGTCTTAACATCTGTGGTTCTGCGGGGCCTTATGAAACACTGAATTATGGTCACATCCTGCACAATAGCACAAAGATGATAAAATAACAGGGAAAACAGAGTGAAAGTGTGGCCTGTGATAACACTAGAAAGCCCATTCATCTTTTACTCAGTAGTTTTCATCTTCTTTCTTTCCTTCTTTTTTTTTTTTTCCTTTTTAGACAGAGTCTCACTTTGTCTCCTGGGTAGAGTGCCCAGGCATCATAACTCACAGCAACCTTAATCTCCTGGGGTCAAGTGACCTCTAGCTAAGACTACAGGCACCTATCACAACACCGGGCTAATTTTTCTATTTTCTCAGTAGAGATGGAGTCTCGGTGTTGCTCAGGCTGGTCTTGAACTCCTAACTTCAAGCAATCCACCTGCCTCAGCCTCCTAGAGTGGTAGGAGTATAGGTATGAGCCACTGCACCTGGCCTATTTTCTTTTTTTTAAGTTACTGAAAAGCAGCAGATGGCACTTACAGCTGCTGTCTTCCTATCTGGGAGGATAAATCAGGCTAAGCTGGTGGAGGAGATGGTCTATTTACCTCAGCTTCACTCCCAGACTGCAAAAGTCCCACACTTAGCCAAGAAATATTTCTTTTCCCCCAAGGAAGAAGGGCTGTAATGGTTGGGCACTTCCTCCATCCTCAGCAACCTCTTTTAATCTGTGGAATTCCAATCCCCTTTTAAGAATGTACAGTGAAAGGTGATGTGGACTAAATGACTTGGTCCCTGGGTGTCCTTACACTTCACTTGTCTTTCCACAATCGTCTCCATTCCATAAGTAAAAACGTATTTTCTCTATGATTTCTCATTTTTCCCTTAAACATGCCTCTGCATTTATTATAAACTATCTTAAATCCATTTTGGAAATGAACGCTATAGGTGTCTAACAGGCATTGTGTTGGAGCCAAGAAAAAAATTAGGAGTCATGGAACCATAGAATTACAAAATGTCAGAAGCAGAAGGAACGTGAGAGGAGATGAAAATCAGTGTTTTTCAAATTGTAGACTGCAGGTTGTAACCCATTAATCATACGAAATCGATCTAATAAGTTACAAGCAGCGTGTTTTTTCTTTTTAAAACAATATGGAATAAAATAGAGAATGCCAGAGTAGATCGTACACAATGAAGGTTTGTTTAATGACATTTTTGTTCAGGCAAGTCCTGACTTGCCTAAAATATCAAGCCATTCAAAATCATGAAAATAAGAACTTTGCACCGTAGAGTGGAGTATTTTATTATACTGAGTGATTTCATATGATTGGTTATTGAGGTATCCTATTTAATTTAGAAATAGTCTTGGGACAATCCACTGAGAAAACCAACTTATTAAATATTGAGTGCCCAAATAATTAATTTGGCAAAAATAATTAATTAAAATGCTAGTTATTAGGCCCTGTAGCCACTAAAGATATTCAATTTATAATTTAAAAGCTACCCAAAAGGAAACTTCTAGGGATAGAGGGTTTCTTTCTTTCTTCTTCTTTTTTTTTTTTTTTTTGAGGTAAGAGTCTCACTTTGTCACCCTCAGTAGAGTGCTGTGCTGTCACAGCTCACAGCAACCTCAAACTCTTGGGCTCAAGTGATCCTCTTGCCTCAGCCTCCCAAGTAGCTGGGACTACAGGTGCCTGCCACAATGCCTGGATATTTTTAGAGACAAGCTGTTGTTCTGGCTCAAGATGGTCTCAATCCTGTGAGCTTAGGCAATCCACCCACCTTGGGGCCTATAGGGTTTCAATGGTGAATTCCACCAAACATTTAATGAAGAATTAGCAACAGTTTTACATAATTTCTTTTTGGGAACATTAAAAAAGGGAGACATTTATCATTTCATTTTATGAGACTAGTATTACCGGATGCCAAAACCAGACCAATAAGTCTTATAAACTTAGACACAAAAATCCTCAATAAAACATTAAGAAATCAAATTTAGTAATGTAAAAACAAAGAATTATATACCATGAGAAAGTAGGATTTATTTCAGGTAGGCAAGGCTAGGTCAATATTTTAAAAAAATCAATCAAGGTAATCCAGTGTAAAGAAGAAAAATCGCATAATTATATAAGTCGCTTCAGAAAAGGATTTGGCAAAACTCAACACCTGCTCATGATAAAAACTCTCAGTAAACTAGGAATAAAGGAAACTTTCCTCAAACATGATAAAGAGCAGATATAAAATGCCTGGGAGTAACATTATGCTTAATGATGAAAAACTATTTTCTGTCAAGATAAGGAACAAACAAGGAGGTTCACTCTTACTATTCTTATTCAACATAGTAATAGAAATTCTAGCTACTGCAGAGATAGAAGGAGGGAGGGGTGGGGGAAAGGAACAGCAGAGAAAGGGAAGGAGGGAGGTGGGTGGGAGAAAGGAATAGCAGAGAGAAGGAGGGAGGGGGTGAGGGAAAGGAAGAGCAGAGAGAGGGAAGGAGGGAGGGGTTGGGGGTCTTGGTGTATGACACACCTTTTGGGGGCGAGACACAATTATAAGAGAGACTATACCTAACAAATGCAATCACTGTAACCTGGTTTCTTGTACCCTCAATGAATCCCGAATAATAAAAAAGAATTAAAGAAAAAAAGAAATTCTAGCTACTGCAAAAATGAAAAATACATGACATACATATGGAAAGGAGGAAACTGAACTGCTATTTACAGACGACATGATTGTCTACATAGACAACCCCAAGTAATCTACAAAGAACTCACAGAACTAATCAGTGAATTCAATGGGTTTGCAGGGTGTAAGATCAATCCACAAAAATTAATTGCATTTCTATATACTAATAACGAACATTTGAAAACTGAATGTAAGAACATAGTACAATTTAAAGTCACTCCAAATATAATAAAATGCTTATGTGCAGAATCTATATGCTGAAAATGACAAACCCAGATCAAAGAAATCAAAGCAGATCTAGATAGATATACTATGTTCACGCATCAAGAGACTCAACATAGGCTCGGTGCTTGTAGCACAGTGGTTATGGCGCCAGCCACATGCACCGAGGCTGACGGGTTCAAACCCAGCCCAGGCCTGCTAAACAACAATGACAACTGCAACAAAAAAACAGCCAGG